TGAATATGCTTAATCGCTATCGATATTATTCCCGAGAAATTCAATAATCCGAACCTTCTGCTTCTGTGAGTTTCTGTGTCTCAGCAAGCACGCGGTGTAAAGAATGTACCGTGGCAAGCAATCTGAATTAAGGAATACGGGCCAACTTTATAATGAATAAAAGAGCAAATGAAACAAATTGAATTCCAATATTATCTTGCAAATAATGTACCGCTTTTGCAAACGGTAATTTCTACAAATAAATACTTGAAATAAATTAAAATTATGGGTTTATTTTTCACTTAACGTACATATTACGCAAAAACGACTTGTATTTTCAAACAGAAAATGCACTTACCTTTTCTAAATGTCTGCTTTTTTAGAACTGCTTTCAAGTAGGACAAAACAAACCCCATTTTTAATATTGTACTTTTGCAATGCCAACTTTTTGCAATTTTCGAAAATTTGGCTGGGAGTTCGACACAAATTGCAACCAACACCTATTTTACTGGAAAGAAAATTTTAAGGAAAAAAAATAGAGCCTTTTTGAGAAATAATTGTGTACAAAAATGCCTGTATTTCACCCAAAATTACTTGAAAACTACCAATATTTTCAAAATTTTGTACGAGACTATTTGAAGATGGTTTTCATTAAAAACGTTTGTGCGTCTGTCTATGAGCAGCACTCTAACGTATACATCAAATACAGAATTTTCCCCAAAATGAACATTCGCCTTTTGTCCTGGCCCTACTGCAAGCCTTGCGAATTTGTAATTAATCTTAATTTTGGGGGATACTACGATGAGGCCCCTGTGACATTTTGAAACCTTTCACACAATCGGCTTCTGATATTTTCTTTAATTTTATTGGTTCACTCGACTAAAGTACGATCATAAAAGTGGCGCAAGCAGTAGCGTAAAAAAATGAATCAAACACGCAAAATTTGCATGTGGCTCCCTTTTTTAAAATTAATATTGTGGAGTTTTTTTTATAGAAGTGGCCCCTTTTATCAGGGCCTCTTCTTTAAAAAGTATCCACAATATTAGTTTTCTGAATGCACACAATACTTCAGCGACGCATATTATTTAAATCTCATTAACTGAAGTGTTAAAAAAAGCTGTACATGTAAAATCATCATGCTATCATCGCTAAATCAAACGGCTGTTTATTGAAAAGAGCTGTCGGCATGGTCGGCAACGGTCTCGTCTGAGGTTCATCAAATAAGATGGCAAGGTGTTTTACTGTTTTTTGACTAAACAAATAAAATAATCCTAAACAACAATCGAAAGACAGTTTGTGTGTCGTCTTTATTGTTAACAATGGTAACGTGTTTATAATCAATAGTGTAAAAGTATGCCTTTATTATTTAAATTTATGAAATTAAGACCTATAAATCTGTTACATAAGCTACCGAAGCGGAAAAAAATATTTCTGGAAGATGCTGTTTTTAATATTTTATTGTATCAACTATCGCAAAGTACCAGAGGAAGTATCAAGTGATTAATATTTCTTACAAACACAAAAACTTCAGCCTTAAAATTGGCCCTCTTTTACCTGGGCCCGCCTGCATTGCGGGCCTGAACGTTACACCAGTGCGCGCAAGTCCGAACTTTCACTAAAACCTTTAAGAAATTCTAAAAGTTTAAAATTTTTGAAGCCTCTCCTACAACTACATTATTGAAAATATACATTTTTCTCAATAACATTTATTCCTCAAAATGAGATCTTTAATTGAGCTTCTGCATCGTTTTATCCACAGAGAATAAAGGATGTTTTCACGTAAATTCACGGATACTTTAACCATAGATTAACACCATGGTATTCATCCATGGTTTAACGGCCAAACTTTTATCAGCTTGTCCATGGTCAACTCTCGTGCCCAACTAAACCGTTCAGAAGATTTTCTCCGAAATTGCTTGATATATCGATCTGCATGATCGATCTGAAAAACCTTTGGGCCCTGTGTTTGAAACGGAAATTTTGATTTTTGGAGGGTTTCTCAAAAGAAACCTCCACAACACTTTCAAACTATCCTCAAAAATAGCTCCAAATTTTCTGATTAAATCTTTGTTCTCGAATAGTGTAAAGAACGCTTAAAGAATGGCGCAGGACTCATTATCATTGAAACCTGATTTTTCAAAGATTGCAAAAGTGCAAACTTTCATTGGCGTCTTCCTACAACTACACTATATAGAAGATGGAGATATGTTTTCCTTGCAACAAAGGAGGAAAACGCTCTTTTTATGAACCAGGGACCACCAAAATATACCCTAGCATATTTTCGTCATAATCTTTTCATGGATTTTTTGCAACTTTGTATAACTCTCTCCTTGTACTACCTTTATGAGAAACTAAAAATGATTCACAAAAAAATACCGACAAAATTATTGGGATTATTTAGATGGCTAGGAACCTCGCAAATTGGATTGTGGGAAATGATAACAATTCGTAATAAAAACCGAATATTCGTACTATAGTACATGCAGAAAAACAATGCGCGAAATCTATGAAATGAGGCACTGAAGTAAAGTTTTTGATTCTATTTCTCTTTATTACAAAAAATAGTTTTAAACGCGAAAAGCTCGTTTTCACGGTGGCATAAGTCACGAATTATGTCACGTCATTATGACTTTTAAAGTCGTGACTGTTCTTGAAAGTCGAGACTGCGTTTACACGTTGACATATATTTCCACGACATTTCGTCACGTGACACCGAAGTAGGCGCGTCAGTTTCGGTTTGAATGGTAGCATCAGAACTTCTATTAAAAACTACAATACAATTCTATTCAACTAAAAACAAAAGTCAAGAAATTCAAATTTGAAATATTATGTTATGAGAATCCTTCAGCAGCAAAACTTGCAAATAGGCCTTCTTGAAAGGGGAAGAAAAAAAACAAACAACACTTTCTCTGTTAACACGGAACACACAATGACCAGAACTATAGTGAAATTGAGTGAAAGTTAAAGAGAAAACTCCATGCTAAGGTACCAGTGATTGGGACAACTTAATCAGACCAACCACATCTTGATGAATATTTCGTGGAATGATTAATAATACGAGTAATTAATTTATTCATGATCTTTTGACTGTGGAGGTACAATTTGTACCAGATCATACATGGCATTACAATCAGAACATATAAATAAGTTTCAGTGAGTCTTAAGTTACTTTATACTTTATTTGGTTTTTGCAATGAGATTTAGTTGTTTAAAATTCACGAGTGAAGGCATAAATTATCTAAAGATCTTCCACAAAATGAAGATCTTTCTCAATCAGATATTTTTATAGTTCCAATTTGAATTTAATGCCCTCCACCGGTTGTGGAGTATTAATGGCCCATTTTCCTTCATTAGCGGAAACTAGAAATTAATGTCCACAAGTTTAAAAGAGCTTTTATATTTTAACTTCAACAGAATCCTTTTTTATATTGTACACTATTACTTCTAACATATTCTACATGTGATAATACATCAACGTTAATAAATTTTGTAAACATTATTTTTAATTTTGTCGAAACATTGAAATAATCATAAAACTAACGGAAAAGTTCTAAACGGTCTTAGTTATATAGAAACTTTATCATTTCTTAAGTTTTAAAATTTTTTCATTTAAAATTTGTTGCTTCTTCTTAGACGCAACGCGCCCCTAAGTCACTTGAGGAGAGATAGAGATATATCTCTACTCTATGCTTGGGGAGCGTTGAGCGCTTCGAGCTTTTGGAGTAATCCTCCATTAATTAACATAGTCCGTCACTTGTCAAGAGGACCGCCAGATGGCATCTCAGCATAAGCACCTCTCATGCGCTCCTGCGTCAACCCAGCGGCCAGATTAGGAAGGAATTAGAAGAGGGCTAGGGTTTAGGACACTTCACAGAGGTTGGACAAGCCCTTGTGAAGCAGCCAAATTCGTTTTGTCGGAACAAATTGCACACGAGATCATTTTCTGAGTCACGATAAACATACAAAAAATCCACTTACTTCAGACTTCTCATTCAATTAGCATTTAGAATGCTAAAGCATCACGTTAAATTTTGAAAATTTCTGAAGATATTTATTAAAATATTTCACATCGAAAGTGTTACTTAGGAATTATATATTTGCGTAGACTCCTCCATTGCTAAGGTACTTGAATAAATAGAAGTGGAAGAATACAATATAGAATAGGAAAGGAAAATAAGTGAACCTAGATTCTTTTACACTTACAATAAGAGCATAAAATATTCATTTTATTATCACGAAAATTAAATTTATATATAAATATGATTGGCTTTTGGATTTTTAAAATATGTGATAATATAGATATTTAGTTTAAAATGTGGGCAGAAATGCCCATTGTTGCTAGATTAACAAGAATTGTTAACATTCATTTTCAATCTTCATCCCTGACAGTCTTGTAATCATGTAATTGACACAAATTCAATACGTTGATGTCGAAATGCCCTAGTTCTCATCTTCCTTATTTCTACGAAATGCAGGAATCTTATATAAAATAATGACATTTCCAAATATTGTCTTTATAGTCAACACACAACATGATACACATTTTAACTCAGTTGCACTCTGCTGTATACTACTACCACACTTCAGGTAAAAAACTCAATTATTTGAATGTTGTGAAAGTATCAAATAAATAATGAGAATTGAGTTGATATGAATTTTTGACAGTGAATCATAAAGTAGTTTGAGGTATGAAGAAGTAAATAAGCTCGAAGATGAAAATTCACATTTTCACACAATCGAAGACACTAGAAATAAGACACAATTAAGAAATGCGCAAGCCAATGTTTCACGCCAACCTAATCTATAAACAAACAATTCTCTATTCACATCCGTATGCTAATGCTATTAAAATTGTGGAATACATTTCCTCCGAAGCAAGTAAGTTAACTTGCAACTTCCACTCGAGCAAAGATATAGCCAGGCCAGACACATGAAGTCAAAAGCAAGTTCCACTTCCGTCCGGCCCGCAGTCTTGTGCACCTGCACACGTACAGAAGGCTATGCCCATCTTTGCCTGTGCCCGATTGAACCTCACGAAGTTCATATCGTGCACGCCAGCAGACAGATTTGCTTACAAATTCTACCGCGATGTGTCTCTGCTATCGCAAAAGCTACGCAAGGAATCAACCAATGCTTGATAAAAAGCTGCGATCATGCGACATCTAGCGGCACGACCACACAATACGTGAGAAGTCGTGACTTGTAAGCCATCGTGAAAACGGGCCTTTAAACAGGTTGGGCAATCTCAATTTTGTAAACAATATTTCTATTCTGATTTGGTGGCAGCAATGTGCAAGTGGAAGCGTTAAGGCTGCATTAAGGTTAAAACCATGTTCGTTGGATATGTAGTGAAGTTTACTTAATTTGAATAGTGTTGTTGTGTGTGTTATTTTAGTGCTAGATTTTAGAAACTATGGAATGTCTTCTACCTTCAGAAATAGCTCGACTCGTTTTTGGTACGCGTATTATGACATAACTCAATGTGTACATTCAACGAAATGCAGATCTTTAAAGGCGGGAAATAAATTTAATGAACTTAACGACGTAATTTACATTGCAGGCTACTTAGAAGAACAAAAATGCGACGAAGCAGCACAGTATTTCCTGGAGCACAGCACATTTTTATCAGAATGTTTAAACGTTGCAAGAGCAGGAAGAAAATTCAGCTCTCGAGTTCAAGGGAGCAGTCTACTAGACATTTTAGACGAGTATTGTGCAGTGCAGAGTTTAGGTAAGAAGGATTGTATAAACATTGTCGATGTTACCGTTTGATTTAAACTTTGTATATCATAACAGTTGAATTTTTTTGTCATGTCAATTGTTATGTAGATTGAATTACAACATTGAAACTTACAGAAATGTTGATGAACAGAAAGGTGTCATATTTGACAAAAGAGTTTTCTTATTTTCACCAAATTTACTGATTAGTAATTGAAGTTCAAGAAGTGATTGAGCTTGTAAATCTTGTGCAATAGAACAGTTGACATTTCAAGTGGATAATGCATTGATTGTTTTTGCCCATTTGCATACTGATACACATAACCATAATTTTACTGCTACATGCAGTTAGGGAAAAATTATTTCTTATTTTTTTTGGGGTGATTGATAATGTCAAGAATTTTTAAATAGTTGTTTGATTTTTGGGACGTAAAATTTCTTGTTTAATTTGACTAATGTAAATGTCATGAAATGAATTCTGTACATAATATATATCCAATATTAAAGTGAAGTTTCTAAGAAGGCTCCTCGTAGGGCCGTTGGCTATCCATGCCAGCATTATTATTATTTTTTGCATTTCAGCCATTTATGACCATACTACATGATAAATATGTGTAATTATGGGGATCAGCTTTTTCTGGTTGTATCCCTTGAAAAGACAAGGTTGTTGTGCCTTGAATTATGAGATTATAGGATGGCAGTAAAGGGATAATGACAAATATGACCTTGCCAACAGGAGTCAAACCTGCAGCCTCCTCGGTGCAGACAAAGGCTACCACAACTGTCTGCACCACTGCTTGCTTATTATTATTATTATTATTATTATTATTATTATTATTATTATTATTATTATTATTATTTTACCTCACTAACTTTTGCTAAGTATAAATTGAATTAATGTCTCTTTGTAGTTGCTGAAAGAATTCGGAAATTGCCAGAAAGTTCTTCAGAGCAGGTGCAGAGCTGTGGAGGATTAGTAGAAAAACTCAAAATCTTATTGGATAATGCTAAGTCTGGACAAACTGTAGCAGTGAGCATTAGTGTTCTCCCACATGTAAGTTGAGTTCTTATCTTTGCTTTACTTGTAGTTTTTTGATGTGTTCTTTCTTCCATTTTGGCATTTCCACTTTTTATTTTCTGTTTACTCTTTTTGTTGCTAATATGAACCGTGGTGATTAAGGGGTGGGGAAAAGCTTTGAACCCCACTCTCTGATAGTCTCCCACCTTGTGTATGTGTGTGGGAGTTCTATACCTTTTGAGACATACCCCATGTCATGATTGTGGGGTATTCGTTATCAAATTCATCAGTCTCAGGCTTTTATTAATTGTTTTATACTTCCATCAACTTAAAAAAATGTGGAATTGGGAGGAAAATTGTCAGTCTCTCTGAAGTGCATTCCAAGCTTCTATGTGATTGACGTATGAGAGACCCATGATAAAAGATATCAGCGGTGTTTTGTCACCAACCATTTGTTGGTGTTTTCCGATGATGTAATCTGTGTACCTTTGTTGCAACCAACTCTGACTATACAAATGAGGGTGAGGATGCAAAGTTCAAATGGCAGTGATGCTTGCACTAAACATGTGAGTGTAGTAGAGCACAGCAGTACTCTCTCGATATTTATTTATTTATTTATTTATATCATAAATGGTTAAAAACTGTGCGTGATATGCTTTGGGGAGAAGTTAATTTGAAGTTACATTTATGTCCACAAGCAAAACAAGGGGTGATCTCAGCATTTGCTCGAGGATCAGGGAAACTGGAAGAAAACCTGATCGAGATGGGGGCCAGAAGCTGAAGTACAATACTTGTTACAATTATACAATCCAAATGGTATATAATACATTAAGTGTCATTGTTAAAATTAATATAAACTTTCTTTTTGGATGCTTGGAATAGTCTCTAATTGTATACAAACAGTTGTGCAGCAGAAAAGATTTTACTTGGGACTTAAACTTTTGTATTGTTGTTTGCTTAGTTGTCAAGCACCAAGAAAATTGTATCACAGTATGGATTGTTAAATGTGTTAAATGCTATAATGTGGAGCCAAGTTAATTTTTAATGCATTAAATCTTTTCTGTGTGTGTGTGTTTTTTAACATTGCTATATAAACAGCTCTTTTACTGTAGGTGCAGATCAATAATTACATATTTCAATTCTTTAGGAAATTCTTTCTTTACAGGGTGGAGCATCCCAGGGAAATGTCACACAGGGAACCATTCACAACCGATCAAGAGCAGCACAAAGTGCGCATGAACGTAAACGTTCCATACGATTTCAAGGTCAAGAAATTAAGCAAAAAGTGAAGGAGAGGGAAGAACGGAATGTGTCTCTAGAATGTTCAGGTAGGACTTAAAAAATTTGCATAAATAGTTTTAAAAAATAGAAGGACAGGACTGAACATTTAGTGAAATGGCTTCAGGGTTGTTTTTTTTTTCATTTACATAATGAGTGAGCACCAACAAGATGAAATTGGGAGAGAGGGCTCAGGGCATCAGTGACGTCACTGCAGTCCCTCTGACCGGGAGGTCCTAGGTTCGAGTCCCAATGGTGACAAGATTTTCGACACTCGCTTATCAGCTAGGACGAATTCAGTAGCTGTCTGGAGGAGAATTGTAATGGCCGGCTGCCCTGATTGATAGTTTTCCGTGTTTTTTCCAGTCAATACCAGACGAATGCCGGAGCAGTACCCTAACAAACTAATACATACTGCGTACGATCTTTCATACCTCTGCCTTGTCCTATTCTCGCTCCTTACACACACTTACACTAACAAGCACTACACTACCACACATGCCAGGAGACAGTCGGGAATTTAGAGCTTGACCCAGTTGGGCCAGTGCCCTGCTGGTGGGAGATACCTGGCTGTGGAAAACCTTGGTAGCCAACAGTAGGTCTGTGCCAGATCTTGCCGTACAGCAGGGAAGACCACTGCCCCCTCCCAAGCCAAATCATGCACTACACTTATGAGACTAATGACCGTACAACTAGTGACGTGCCTGGAATTGACAATAATCAATCAGTCAACCAACAAGATCAACAGGCTATTTGCTATCTGCTACTTCATTGCTTCTTTCCTCTCTAATCTTCCTTATCAGCAAGCACCAGCAAGAGGCTTGAATGAATTTCTCTCAACCTGATTATTTTTTTCTTGTTTGTTCTGCCAACTTGAGTTTTGATTTACTGCTGAAGCTTTCACTTCAATATTAATTGTTGCTCATTGTGGATCTTCAGCAAACAAAGTTCTTGTTGAAGAGATCTCATGGCTGATAATTTTATTTGGCGTAATACACTACTCTATTCCTCAAGATATTTTTAAAAGAGCATCAAAAGATAAGGTTGTAGGTCCATAGAAGATCTATCAAAACTTTTAATCTAAAGATCAATCAAAACTCTTTTAATACTTTCAGCACTGAGCATTTAACACAGTGATAATTCCAGAATCCTGTCAATTTTGTGGTATTTTTGAAAATTTGTATGAAGTCAAGAGATGTCTGAAATTGTTTACAAATAAAACTTTCTTAATCGGGGGAATATTGAATTGGGATGCTTAATGACACTTACACATTATTAAGTTGAACACACCCCCTTTTCTTTTGTCTGAAAACATGTCTACATCAATATTCAAATAAAAGAGAATGTGTGATATCTGTCACACAAAGGCGTAAAATCTACTTAACCAATTTCTCTGAAATTTTCACACTTTGTCCTTATTAGTACCAATTGTGAGTATCACCAAGAGAGTAGGTGAGAACTAGTACTGCGAACGTATTGATTGCTTTAAACTTGTTTTTACCATTGAGTTGACTTTTCTTTTGGATGTGTTCAAGTAGTATTTTGAGATGAATCTCCAACTCTTAGACTTGTCTTCATCATTTGTTCAATATATCTACAACTGCTTGAGGACCTGTATTCTGAGGGGAATCTTCAACTATTAAGTTTGTTCGTTGGACACTATTGCTTAGGGATTTTGCCACCTCTGATTTAATTTCATCTAGCAACGTCTGCGGTAGAAGGTTGTTGGTGATAATTGTACTATGTTGGTTAACAATTCCTTGTTCTGTAACCTTTTAATTCTGGGTATTGCATTTTGAATTGTTGATGTAGCTCATGCCTGTACATTTAATGTCTGTTTCAAGTTATAATAAGTGAACATACTGAATGTGTTTTCATTCCAAGGCCATTATTTGGGACACTGGTAGTAAATCATTTTTTTACGTGGGTGGGTTACTAGCCCTCTCCACACAACCTCTGTCCCAAGGAGGGGGGAGGTTATTTCGGACTTCCCTTGTCCTAGAGATTGCCTTATATCAGAAGAACAAATGGGATTTCGAAAAGGCAGATCGACTGCTGATGCCATTTTCACATTAAAAAGAGTAATAGAAGAAAGACTCGAAACCAACTGTGAAACACACCTAACATTCGAGGATATAGTAACAGCTTTTGATAATGTCAATAGAAGCATTCTGTGCAACTTAATGGAAAGAAGGGGGTACCCCAAACACTTGATAGAGGTGATAAAAGAACTATATGAAACAACAAGTATTAAGTTGCTTATAAAAGGAAAATTGACAGAAGAGATTCCCACCAACAAATGTGTAAGACAGGGCTGTTGCATATCACTGGTACTTTTCAATATATACATAGACGACATGTTTAGAACACGGAGATTGAATATAGATCTATTTTAGGAAAATATTTTTAAATTCTATTTTATATGCAGATGACAAAGTGATAATACAGGACACTGAAGACAAAATGCAAATGGCAGTATATAAATACAGTAGCTGTGCCAGTGTTAATGTATGGAGATGAAGCAATCAAAAAAAGGGAACTCTAAAATCCAGGCAGGTGAAATGAAATTTCTAAGAAGCACTCTAGGTTATAATATTCTAGATAAAAAGAAAAGCACAGAGATAAGAAATAAACGGGGGGTCGAACCACTGCTGGAGAAACTGGAAAGAAATCAGAAAAGATGGTATGAACATCTCATAGGAATGACCGACAGCAGACTACCAGCACTCGCAGTGGACCACAGATGCAGAGGGACAAGAGATGTAGGAAGGCCCAGAAGGAAGTGGACACCAGAACAGGTTCTTGAACCTAACCCTTGAAGTGCAGAAGAAGATGACTGTGTTTATGTCCACTTTAAGCGCTATCTTTCTTTTCCTGCCTTGGTGGTTGAGGGTTGATTCTCCCTCAAAATACTGTTGGTAGGCGGAGCTTGGAGGTCTTTAGTGCTTCCTTAAATGTTGGCTGTAGTATTTTCGAGTGAACGAGTAGGCACCCGCCTGTTTAGCAATCTGCCTCTGGTGGTTTGCATGCTGTCACGACCAGCACTCCAGACGTGGTCAGGCAGCGGCTTTTTCATTTGACTTCTTGTAATCATCTCTCCATAATATGGGTCGTGAGCCTTTTATACTTATGGCTAGGTGAAATGACAGTAACCCTTTTCACTTATATTTTTGACGGTGCCTTTTAGTTGGCTCGTCTGCCGCTGTCGTCATTGGATGACGTTCTGCCTTGATGTACCCCAGTCGAGATAGCCTTTCCCTTGTGTGGCACTGGGGAATATCCTTACCCAACCCCACCTTGTTCGTCTGCTCACCACCCTGGTTTTCGCTGGGGTGATAGTTGATACCCAACCTTCACTCAGGTTGCTTGATTTATCAGCTCCACAGCGTGAAGGTGGAAGGGTGGTTGAGTTGTAGAGGCTGAGGTCACTCTTGTTGAGTGACCATTTTTGCATACATCCACATTTTGATTGGATCCTTGTGGTTGTTTTATTATTATTATTATTATTATTATTATTATTATTATTATTATTATTATTATTATTATTATTGTTATTATTATTAATATAAATAATATATAATAAGTGTTAATAATGATAATGGTAATAATGATAATCATTGCACTAAGTAACACTATTATTCTCAAATAATTTTGGCCTCTGTTGCAAACTCATAAAAACTTGAGATTGCTGTGTTTGAATTTTGCCTCCACAAATATGAATGATGGTGTCTGTTCTTGTTTCAGTTGAAACTACACGTCTGGAAACTTTACCAGGTTTGTCTGGACAAGGCAGCAGCAGAAGTGCTGAGACTATAAGTGATAGAGCACTACATCCCCTGTCTAGAACGGGTGAATCTACATTTCATATTAGTGAAAATGTTTCTTTAAGAACAAATAATGAAGAGATTTCTTATTCAAGTTTTGCTAGTGAACAGTGCAGTAGTGAGAAAGGACGAAGTCATTCATTTTCTAGTACAAGCACAATACCGGATAAAGATGCAGGCCAAGATGTTAATGTTAATATATGTGAAGTTGGAACAAGTACAAACACCTGCTCTAAAAGAAAAACGTAAATATTCAGATACTTGCTTTATTTTTACTTTCTCTTATGTGTGTGTGTGTGTGTGTGTGTGTGTGTCTGTGTCTCCTCTCTCTTCTGTCCTCTTTCTCTCCTCTCTCTCTCCTCTCTCTCTCCTCTCTCTCTCCTCTCTCTCTCTCCTCTCTCTCTCTCTCTCCCCTCTCTCTCTCCCCTCTCTCTCCTCTCCCCCCTCTCTCTCTCTCCTCTCCTATCTCTCCTCCTTTCTCTCGTCTCTCTCTCTCAACAGGTGTGAAAAAAATCTGTGCCATTCTGAAGCAATACTATTTTATTTTGTCTGTAGAGACTGTTCCCCAAAACACTTGAAAACAATTGAATGCCCCTTTAAGTTATAACTGGGTTTAAGCTTTTGTTTTAGGCCAATTAGCTGTGAATCAATCTTAGTTCAGAAGAAAAGTGATTCTCTGCAGAGGTGGTTTGTGGGGCCCTAAGCTTGACCAAAGTATGAGGCCCTAATAGTGTTGAAATATTAACCATAATCGAAATTATTATGAAAATAAACGGCAAACCTTGCTATATAAGTATTTAATAATAAATACAATAAGTTGACATTAACAAACAATTATGAACTTTTATTTTAAAAATAATTAGGACACCTATCCAGTGGGGGTTAAAATCCAGGTAAAAATATTTGGCAAATAGAATAGTAGAAATCTTATCAGTAAAAGGAGTTTTGATTAGAAAAAAGTGTCTGCTTTACTTTGAAGCTTCCAAACACTCTTGATTTGTGTCCTGAAGCCTCTGATGTTTTGGTTAAAAAAGAAAAGGTCTAAATTGGAAGAAACCAACAGAAAGTTCCAATATTCTAGTAATGCAAGTGGGATGTTTATATTATTGTAATATCATTGTGTTGTTATACAGTCTAATAATGTGAAATTAACAAGTGAACTGTTGTTAACAAGAATTTCAACAATATGTGGCTTATGTAATCTGTTGTTTTCATTTTCGTGTATTTTAAAATCTACATTATTTAGAGATGTATTCATGTATTCATTTGTTTCTCTTTCATTAGTCATAATAAGAAGAAATGTACACCTACCAAATCTTCTCCTCTTAGAGTTCGAAAATCTTTACGAGGAGATGAGGAGGAGGAGGACGATGAAGAAGAGGAGGAAAGTGTTGCTGCAACAGTAAGCAGATTTATATCAGTTTGCTTTAATGGGCATAAATTAATTTCTGGAATTTAAAATTTGTTGTTACTTCAATGAAAAAATGGTTTCAGCTACATCGTGCATTGCTTAACAACACAGAATTGCATGAGAAGATTGCTGAAAATATAAACAGTGTCATTCGAATTACAAATGATTTAGGAAGTAATGAAATATCATGTGGACCAATAGGTTCTGAAGACTGTGAAGGAGTCATTCAAGAGTTGAATAATGCCATAAAAATGGTTGTTGATAAAACACAGGAAGATCCTGTTTTTGAAAGACTGCTGGAAGAAATAATTGGTACTATTAATTTTTTTAGCATATATAGAAAAATATTACAAATTATGAATATTATTGTAAATATTGTATGTTGCGAGTATGAAATTAATGGAAAAGCTTTGTAGTGTAATTGTTGAAGTAATTTATTTTAATGTTTCAAGGATGTAACAGTTAAACTCAACTCTTAATTTTTCTATTTTAAAAAAAAAAACTGTACAACTAATAAGTAAAAGATAATTGAACAGTTGTACTGACTGCTGGTAATAAACAATCACTCATTTGAGTGGTGGTGGTAGTGCTGTATATTGCTTGTATGGTATATTTTCCAATATTTTTGACAATAAGTTCCATTACAATGCAAATTAAACAAGGCAACCTCTCACAACTGATAGTAAATAAAAGCTACAAACTGATCCAATATTTTAGTTTTGCCAATACATCAAAAAATCCAAGGAAACAAGTAGTGCAATATGTAATCTAATGTTTTTGATGGCAGGTCCAACCGATGAAGATATGAGTTCGAGCCCAACAGGTGTAGAAAGTGAAACAGATGATGCTTGTGATGCTCCTGATGCAGTTATTTGTGATGAAGATTGCATTATTTCAAACGGTGAAAGAAATAGTGGTGGAAATAGTGCGGTAGTAACAACACTTTCTGAACCCAGTATAACTATTGTTAGTGAAGAAAACCAAAAAAGTGTGGTGAACTCGTTAGTAAAAACCTCTAGTGTAGTGTCATCTGTAAATGTGGTTGAGAATGTAGTGTCTGACGAAGAAAAATGTGAGAATCATGAAGTACCAGAAACCCTGAATAATGTAGATGAAAACATTCAGGCAAACTCAGAATTGCAGACAATTAATAACAAATCATTGAGAGTTAATGTTGAAAATTTACCCAAGAAACCATGTAAGCAAGCCAATCAGACAAAAGGAAAATCATCTGCAAATTCGAATGTTACATTTCAAGATAATGAAGGTTCCGCAGTATTACCAATCCCTAAAGAAGTGAGAGCTCTTTTAAAAAATGTATCTTCAGATACAGTAGACACTCCAAAAAGTGACATACCCCTGAAGCAGAGGCTACGCAGTGCAAGGAAAAGTGATCACAGTTTACAAGGTTTGATGCTTATTTATCTTATTGTGTTTCTTATGTATTTAATTATTTCTTTCTTTATTTCTCACATTATCATTTAAACCAGATTTTTAAGATTTGTGTGACTAATGGTTTTCTTGTATCTTCTCCCCTTTTGGGGGGGGGGGGTCACTTTTATCTCTGCTTGGTCATATCGCAACCCCTGTAATTTTGTTTACATTGGGGTAGCTGTAAGAGAACACCTAAGGATTTGAACCTGCAACCCTTCGAGCCGTGGCAGCCATGGCCCTTCAGCCTTAGCTACCTTGGCTATCCAGGCCGGCCTTGTCTCCTTTATTTTCTAGTTATTATTTTATAACTGCCTAAGTTTGCAGATCGCAAGCAGACCCTTAATGTTACAAAAGGTAGTGTTGATCTTCACGCTTTCTTCAGAGGTTTCTTATAAGTATATATTATGAATAATTGAACATTTAGAAGACACATTTCGTATTTCTCACAAATTAGCCAAATTTGTGTGTGGGAAAGTTGGCGAACCTAACCTGCACCTGGCGAAACTAGCGCCTCCTATAGTAGCACCCTCCATCTTAGTCCCTGGTTTTTATGGGGAATTGTGAGGCCCTGGTGTGGATCTCGGCCTGCTCTAGTGCTTTCTCTCCCTTCCTTTTCTTGCTCAGTTATTCCAGTTCTTAACGCCCTGAATTTTTAGGCTCATTGTTTTCCCATCAAATTTGTAGCCGCCTTTGTTTGTGTTGTTAGAAGCTTACAGTTTATCTGTTTGTTCCCTATAAGGTTTCATCCTGCCTTGATGAGCTAATCAAGCAATCAGTTTAGATTTTAGTGTAACTCTTCCAATGTTTTTATATTTTATTGAGATATAAACTTATTTTATTTTACTTCTCCCAACTGCTTAATTCATTTTAGTGGGGCCACAATTTTTTCTCACGATGTTCCTATCATTTGCTACGTGTGTTATGTTCAGGACTATCTCTCACACCTATGTCTTTCTAGTTTTATAATCATTATTGACTGTAGTTGCATTTTGGATTTTTAGGACCGTAATTTTAGGAGTAAAAATGATCTTGTACAATAATTTGTTTTGCTGTTATTCTTTCTTGTATTTCTTCTTCAACTCATTCTTTTTATTTATGATTGCGCCTAGATTTTGCCATGTCAACTGTATCAAATGTAAAAATCACTGCATTCCAGCAGGTTCAATTAACTAATTCAAAGCTATCTACAAGATTACTGTTATGCCTTTTTAAAAATTTTACCAAATATTAGATCGAAGATCAGGACCAGACTACAAAAGTAATTAAGTTTGTAAAGTTCCAGAGTGATAGAGATTATAATCCCAGGTTACTCAAGGTCATATTGAATAGCTCCAAAGCAACAAGGGAAATTTTGCTAGATGGCAACAAAGCAGAAGAGATTAGAATAAATATTGATTATACGCCAGTGCAGATAAGCAAGTATGTAAGAAACTGAAAGAAAAACAAAACGAAGATCCAGATCTGGAAACTAATTTGTACAAGGATTCCCAAGCATTATAAAGAAGATAGAATATGAAAATTGGCAGCAGCAATAAGTAAATTATTTAACCCAAAGATTTTATGTACAAATGCATCATTTCTTACTGCTAAATTTCATCTATTTCTGATTGAAATTAATCAAGTCTAACAGGATATTATTATCCTAACAGAAACATGGCTGAAGCCTGACTTGCCTGATCCAATGATAAGGATTTCTGGCTATAATATTTACAGCAATGAAAGATGAGATAAGTGAGGTGGGAGTGTAGCACTAAAACATGTTAAGCAAAAGACAATCACGAGAAACTACAGTATTCAGGATACATGAAGTTGAGGCACTATAGCTGAAAATAATGTGTGAAATGCAGTGTGTAATAGGTCGTATATACAGACCAGCAACATCTGATCCTAGTAACAAGTCGTTTGATCAAAAACTCTTTGATTCTCCTGATAAGGTGTGTCTAAATCATGAGTTTTTTATGATTTTCAGAGACTTCTCTGGTATCACCTGGTTTCAACTTCGGTGGTATCACCAGGACAGAACATGTATGTAGTGGAAGAACGAAGTAGAGTAGGAAATTTTACATCACTACATTCATTCAAATAGTCAGATGACGATGGAACTAGCAGCATTTAGACAAATTCAGAGTTGAGCATCGCTTGATTGGGTACTGACAACATATAAAGATTTCATCTCACTGCTTGACGTGAGGTCACATATCAGCTTGAGTGATCTTGTTGCTATTACATCATCTTTACAAATAGAGACCAGAAGAGACAATGTCTTTGAGGATAACCCAAGACTGAATTACTACAGAGATAATTATGATGCAATAGGCTAGTCTCTTGGAACAAACCTTTTGTAAATGGAAAGGTAAGTGAAAATTGAGTACTGCGAGATGACTCGTCTACATACATATGTGCTTTGTACATATTCTCCATAAACAAAAAAAGAAAATAAGCCATAGATCAACAGAAAAATTCTGAAACAATCTAGAATGAAATGTAATGTATAGGCAAAATGGAAAAGAACGGGAAATGATCATACTGCTTACAGTATAATCAATAATGATCATACAGCAAAGATGAGACGACGAAAGGAAAAATATGAAGTGGACATCAGGAAATAAATGCTTCTTCCTCTACATTTGTAAAGAGACTGCTGGTAAAACTGACACACCTCTATGCATAAAGGCAGATATTTCCAATAAAATATTGCTAGGAAATTGGCTCTTTCACAAGCATTGGTTTGTAGAATTAGTTCTTCATTGAAATCAGGTGAGACCCTTGCATTCAAATGTAAGAATGTAAGAGGAAATGTGGTTGAAAATCCAAACTGGAACCTCGTATGCAACAAAGATTGATTCAAAAGACCAAGATGAATGGAAGGAACACCAGTAAGAAGTTGAGCAATCAACTAGTCGAATGGAGGTGAAATATCTTATCAATTGTAAGAAGGCATCTCTGTGCTGCAGGACTTTCAGGGAGCAGGTCAAGAAATAAAGCGAAAACAACTCCTTCAACTGACTAAGAAATGGCTGAAATGAGCAAAAGGAATGCAGATTGAAATTAACATCCGTTGGGAAAATGTAAGAAACATGATACTAAAATATTATTTACTGTTTCCTAAGAGGTAACTTCATATCATGGATGAAGTGGATTTTTCAAACTTTTCAGAAATTTAGTACACATTCAAGAGACGTATGGATTTATTTTCTATAGTTTCAAAATGTTATTTTGAATATATAATTAGTGCTTATTATCTTGCTGGTAATATTTTCAAACAAGCCCATATTTTCTCTGTCCAAGAAAAGCAGCCAGTAGGTGAGAATGGCCACTGATGAGATGTTTTCTCCAAAATGTATACTAATGTCTACTAAGATAGTCGAACATTCAACTTCAGTTATAGTATGGAGTTGCATGTCAGTTCATGGATGTGACAGATTAGACCCTGTTAAGGGCACAATAGAGCAGAATCAGTACAAAAAAGTGCTTTAAGCCCACCGGCTGTCTCAGATCAGAGATTGGTTGCCTGAAGAAGATTGCATTTTATGCACGACAGAGGACCATGCAATTAGGCAAAGTCTGTTAAGAAATTCTTGGATGAAAATAACATAAAGACATTGTCTTAGCGGAGTAATAATCCAGACCGCAACCTAATTGAAAATTTATGGCGAATTGTAAAGAGAAGATTGAAGAAATAAATAATATCCAGAACTGGCCTCATCATAAACATCATAGATATATGGTTTCATGATGAATAAATTCAGAAAATGTTCAAGGACTTTGTGGAAAGCATGCCAGAGAGGATACAAAAGGTTATAAAGAACATTGGAATGCACCCCAAGTACTTAAGAGTGCATTGTATATTGATAAATTGTGATAATTATATTTCAAAAGTAAATTACCATTAGTTTTATCAATTATTGAAATAATTTGCACACGTCTGTATATAAGCCTGCATTTTTGTGTGACAGTTAGCTTTCCATTATATATGCATGACAAAATAAGCTTTCCAAATCTTGTGTGTAGTATATCTTACATGATCAGCTCAGCTGAGGTCACTTCAAATTATTATGCTCAGATATTTACAACTATGTGCCTCTGGGATTTTATTTCTACCCATAGTATAGTGGCGTGTTTCCTGTGTTTGCACCTTTGTAAAACTAATTGTTTTGCTTTTATGTGGATTAATTATCATACTGATTACCTGTGACTATTTCGTCAATTCATCAATACCTTTTTGCAACTGATCAATGTTGGAATTGTCTCCTAATAGAAAAGTGAAACAAAATATTGGCCTTTGCTAGGTATCACATTTAATGCAGTTTAAAATGTCAAAATGTGCAGTAAAAACTGAACAAGTATGCCAAAATATACAGTAAAAACATAAAATATGTCAAAATAGCACTTGAAATCAGTGAAATTATGTACAAACATTAACTAACAAACCAAAATAACTACTAAAATAAATAGAAATTACTTTTGGATTACCTATTTCCTCTAAAAAAAATTATTAGAAAACGAATACCTGTTGTCACATGTAATTGAGACTTCCGGTGAGCATATATCTGCTTTCCACGTGGTTGGCAAAACACAATGTCTGTCCCTTGAAAATATTTTATATTTCTTGTTGAATTCTGCAATCCAATGTCAGTTTGGAACTACGTGGTGTAACACTAATGGTCGTTTTTCTCTTGAACTTCATGCTTATGTACTGGCGAACAAACAGATTGCAACTGATTGCAGACTCAAGGGAAAATTATTAAGAAAAGATATTAGAGTAGTAGATAAGTAGTGATTGATTATACAAAATCGGGCTCCTCTTTTAGTTAACCAGGAAATAGAGCTGTAATTAAAGACATAATTCATTTATATTATCATGACTCAATTCTGAGAATTATTCCTTTCCAACACAGGGTATAGTATTTAAGGGGATAAGAGAAAAAGAACTCATAATCTGAATAACTTAATATTCACTATTAACAAATTTTCTCATGGAAGAAGCAACCCAAGCAAGGGAAATAATAAATCATCCTTGAAATTTATAATTTTGTGCAGTATTGATTGTAAAATAAGCTATATAATTTAGCATAACCATAAAATATGCACTTTTTTCCTTATTTCTTAAATATTCAATATAAAACCTTGAAATAAGAATCCGGTTACTCCCATTCGAAAAGAAAACTGAACTCCTCACTTCTACAACTAAACAGAAGAAGAATGCAATTGCATAAAAATCATATCCTAGTCATTCCCATTTGGTTTTTGTTATAAAGTGGGGGTGCCTACTACCTCTCTGTATCCCAAATTTTTCCCTACTTCTGCATTATAATTCCCCGTTAAAGATACAATAATGTATTGTAGTATTTGACTAAGTTCTGCACTTCTTTATAGACCATTTCTTTCATCTTCCTTCTCTTCTGGGAGTACATAACATTATTTATGCTTTTACATGTATATAAATTACAAAATTTCCTCTTAATTCTTAGGGTGCACATTTCTCATTACGATTTGAAACCTAAAACACACTTTTCCAATTTTGTGCTTAAATAGGATTCTCTTCTAAAATGCATAAAGTTAGGATACTCTTCCTAACTTTAATACTAGGAAGCACTAGTAACTAATTTCTTCTCCACTCCATTGTAGTGTCCCTTGTACTTAATTTACCAGAACCCTGCCAAAGAACTTCTAGTAAAGCCGTTATCTTAATTTTGTTCATGTAATTCTTCTTTTATGGGAACAGATTGTTGGCCTGACTCTAATCCTCATTTCTTGGAGGGTATTGATTTGTCTTAAGTGTTACTGGGGAGTGTCTTCACAATAGTTCATCTACCATTTGATTCCTTAGCTTATGGCGATCCTTCCAATATGTGAAAAGCTGCAACTTGATTTGTGTAGGGTTTACTCTCTGAGATATTAACTTTACCGTGATTTAGAGTTCTCTCACAAAACTCTCAAACACGTTTTCTTCCAGAGTACGCCTTCTTTTATCCCGTTGTTCCCATTTTAAGCCACCAGTGACTTGCTCTTGTGTTGCTGTCATTGGCTATATTCTGATCTCTCACACCAAAAAGTATTCAAGAGCTGACATGCAGGAGGGAGCAGGACTTATTGACATTGCTCCAAATTGGGTATCTCTGTTTCAAGAAGGTATTTCTAGTATTTGCCTTGGGTCTTCCTGACGAATGTCTGCAATTTAACACCCACGGTAGTAATGTAGAAATTGAAATTTGGCTTGTCTCTTAAAAATATTTATAGATGGTGAGTCCAATAGTGGCAAAGCTTCAGCGTTGCCTTTTGTGTTAATTTCTCCAGATTTTAATGCTCTTACAATGATTGTACATTCTGTTGATCAATTACCATTATACAAAGACAGGCACAGTACAACCATTACACAAAGACTAACATGATATGCAGACAAATATGTAGATTAAATTTTTTTACCAGAAGTGTGTAGTCAAGCACTGAATTTTATTTCTACTACTCTCATAAAATATTTTTTTGAACAAAAGTTATTTCTTATGTGGCTTCTTAATTGCAGAGTTCATTATGTTAGAATGATGTCTAATGATTGATTTTCCTGTTTGCTTAGGCACAACAAAAGAGACTTCTTCGGTGGACCGTTCACTTGAAGATCAAAATGCCAAAGCCATTCAGTTAATTCTTGAAGCTAACAAAAAGTCTTCACAGTTGTTGGAGACAGAAAATATTAGTAATTCAAACACTGAATTGTCTTCAAAGGAAGGAAACAAAAACAATTTATCAACATCTCCAAAGAAAATTTCAGATGTTCTGGAGAAATCAAATAACAATAATGAGAAAGATGTCATTTCATCAGATAAAAGCACCGGGAAAGAATCTCAAGATGCAGTTTCTGCAACAGGAGTAGTTGGAAGTAAAACTAGTGTTGACATAAATCCTGCAGAGGAATTGAATACTGCTCTGGGTTTTGATGATTTTGCTGACAAGCCCATAAATAATTCTGTTTTGGTTGAAGAAAGATGTAACATTACTCAGCAAACTAATGTTGAGAAAGAACAAATAATGATGCTAACTATACCCAATGTAATGAATCCTAATACATCCACCTCTTCTGTTATATCTCAGTCTCAAACAGAGCAGATTACCACAAGAACTTCAGTTGAACCGCAGACTTATCATGAAACAAGTAATTTGCAGAAGCAAGTAATGTTTTCTCAGCAACAATCTTCTGAACATCTGCCTTCTCCATTTTCATTATTAACTTTAAGTCAGAATGCTAATGATACTGCAGAAGGATCAACAAAACAAATGCCTATGGATGAAACAACCTCTTCAGCAATAATAGTTTGTGATTCTAATGCGACATTCTCTTCACTCCAATTTCAAAAGGGTATGTATTACTTTAAACTTCTTCAGAATTGCATTAGTATTTTTATAGGTGTGCGCAGCCGAAACCAAGAGAGAGGGGGGAGCACATTTCTGGGCCCCCTATAACCTTCTTCTTCTATGTCTACTTTCCTCTTCTTCTTCTTCTTCTTCCACTTTTCTCTTCTTCTTCCACTTTTCTCTTCTTCTTCCACTTTTCTCTTCTTCTTCTACTTTTCTCTTCTTCTTCTACTTTTCTCTTCTTCTTCTACTTTTCTCTTCTTCTTCTTCTTCTTCTACTTTTCTCTTCTTCCACTTTTCTCTTCTTCTTCCACTTTTCTCTTCTTCTTTCCCATTTTTCTTCCTCTTTCTTCTTCTGCTTCTTCTATTGTATTTCTTTTTCCCAGAAACAAGGACAATTGTTTGAAAATTCAAAGTCCAGAGATTGGAGATGCACTATATTACTTTGCTTTGTTTCACAGAAAGATGATTCCAGGAACATTTATTTGAAAACTCATATTTGAAACATTCTGTTTCAACTTGTAAATATATTAAAATGTAACGAAATACGAAAGAAATCTGTAGTAATGAATAAACTATGTAAAAATGTATCATTACACCTAAATATTAAAAAGCTTATAAAAGAAATTGATATTAAAACATTCAGAATATGATGCAAACTAAAAAAATTATTGAATGCAGGGATCTTCTATCAGTAAAAAATGTATTTACATGAAAATCTGTTCACTACTCATTATCAATCAATTTAATTAGGCTAATTGTCTTCTAAATCTAACTTAAATATTAAAGATATATTATGCACCCTTAAATATAGTTTTTTAAAGAAATTTTATTTCTTTTTGCACAGGATTTGATACAAAAGAAAATCAACCAAAGAGAATGCGGCCTATTGCTCCTCGGCCGATTCGACCCAAGCCTGCAACATCAGCTTATCCTTTGCAACTAATTACTACAGGTTTGAAACATTCAAGCAAATAATGATAGAATGTTATTGGTTGTATATTGTTCTTGTACAACATACGAGGAAAGTCTCTCCACGGTGGCACCTTGGTGCTGACAACAAAAATTATGCTGGGAGCAGCATTTAACAAAAGAAAAAGTATATACCGCTCTCACCACAATCATAATAGATGCTGGAAATGTTATCCCTTTATCTTGTTTCCCAGAGATTTTTGCCACCAACATTAATGCAATTTTTAATAGGGGGCTCCGATTCGGCCAAGTGCAGAGAGACTTTTCTGATGCACTATATTATCTCAATATTAGTTTTTCAACTTAAGCTCTCTAATTAAGAATTCATGTCCATTTTCCCTCCTGGGAAATAAACAAATAGATAGCTTTTTATTGCCAAGTAAATTTTTTGTGCCCATTGTGTAAATTCTTTAGTTTAACAATTCAATTAAGAATGGTATTGACTCATTCAATACTTCAAACTGGAATGCCTAATCAAATCAGATTAATCACTGTAATCAGTCGCCATGAATAAGTCTTGGCCTTACATGTATTAATAGCACACTTATTTTAATAGTCTTGATTTGTTTGTTTGCTTTTTCTACTCACAAATGGTTCAAAGAATATTGAAGTTGTTTTACAATTCTTTTTTCCCAAGAAATTTCAGAGATTTTACGAAAATTGAAAGAAAATGAACTAGAATGTTGCTTAATGGTGTCAGCATTGCATATTTTTTGTGAAAATGTTTGACAAATTGTTCTTTGTTTTTCAGATCTTACCTCGCAGTATTTTGTGACTCAAGTGTCTCCTACACCTTATCTTGAAAGGAGGAATATTATACCTCCATTGTCTCCAGGATTATTAAATGTACTAAATTTGACTGTTCCTGTTATATCACAAACAAATGAACCTGTTAAAAAGATTTGTATTTGTGCTTCTGACGATTGTGGTAAAGAATGTGTGGAAATTGCAGAGAATAATATTAATTTGATCTTGTCTTCGGCTGGGGCAAATTCAGACGTTTATGGCGACAGTGACATTTCCAGTGTTTCTGAGCATGTGCCTGATAATTCTGGAAATGATAGAACAGATAAAGAGAGCGTTGTTGACACTGCACATCAAAGCACATCTGATGTTTGTGAAAGTAATAACGACAATTATGATGGTCCTTCTACCTCAAATGCAAATCAATCAAGTCAGCAATTAACTACTACTTCATCAAAATCCAAGCATAATGAAGTTGAGATACTAGATATGTCTTCGCTTTTATTACTTCCAGAGCAAGTGCCTAAACCACGTGACACACCACAAGAATTTATTGCTGGGAAATCTGGTGCAAACACTCGTCGTTTGAGCCTAAGCACTCCACGTCGTCGTACTAGCCACATTCGAGCCTTAGATTTTGGAACTCCACAGAAATCTGGTACTGAGTCTCTTGCTCTCAAGAAGAGTCAGACATCCCCAAAACCTTCTTCAAAAACTAATATAGAAGGAAATGGTGCCATTTCAAAAGTTGGTGTTTCCATGTCACCATACAAACCTTCAAATAATCAAGTGCGAAGTGTAAGATCTAGTTTATTTACATCACCAGATCCACCTGTTGATAAGAAAGAAGAAAAGGAAGAAGGAAAAAAATCAAGCAAAGAAAATGCTAATAATTCACATGTGGTACCAATTGCAACTCGTAGTCCTGTAACGCATTTATTAGGCGATTGGGATAAGGCTACTGGTGTGGGGCTAATTTTTAATGGTGTTTCACCAGAAAATTCAGCTACAAGAAAAGTAGACCATCGCCCATCTAGAATTACTCCTAAAACATTACTCTTTTCCCCAGAGTCAGAAAGCAACTCGGCTAGTGATCAAAACCAAACTCCTCCAAGTCAAAATATGTCAGACACAAATAAAAATAGTGACAATGATTTTAATCATACAGAAAGCAATGAACCCATGAAGTCTTTGCCTGACATTGGGACAAACAATAATGACTTGACTCTATTAGGCCAAAAAGTATCACCTAATACTATGCCGATTAAACAGAAATTGAAGTCCCGTTCATGGGATCAAGACTTGCGGAAGCTCTTGAGTAAAGATTTTGTAGATGTGTATGTGCAAGAAAATACTTTAGGAAGGAAAACTCATGACAGTGTTCTTAAAAACAAGGCCACTGGTAAAAGCTGTAAGAGAAATCAAACAACAAAGAAATCAAAAAAGAGAATTGTCAAAAAGACCAATAAAAAAAATGATTTGGATGATGAAGTGTGTCATGCACTCGGTGCTTTAGAATCAGAAAATAAGCAGTTAGGTAGAGCAGCTCCGGAAAAAGAAATTGATTCTACCAAAAATCAATGTAATTCATTTTCAGGACTAAATTATAACAAACATGCTACTTTTCAAATTGAGAAAGATAAAAGTTCTATTGTGGAAGAACACAAAAATAACTGTTCAGATGCACCTGCTAATATTAGTTCGACTAATGTTTCCAGAAAGAGAAAGGCAGATGAAAAACCAGACGATTGTTTATCCAAGAGGCAAAAACCAGCTAGTGAAGAAGAAAGTGGTGTAAGAAAATCTTTAGAAGAAGTTTTGGAAAGTATATTTTGTGAAGACAATGAAAATAGATCAGACAAAGGTGCAAGACCAAAGGGAAAAGAAACTGATAAGTTTGAAAATAAAACCAGAAATGTTTGTGATGTTTTAGTTCATGTGAATTCAACTCAAGATAGTGTCACAGAGACATCAGAAGCACCCTTGCAAACAGAAACCAGAGATAATTCAAACCAAAGTATATTCGATTTAGAAAACAATGGAGAAGATGTACAAAGGGCACTCAAAAAATCTGCAAAACCTGACATTAGTGGTGAAGCTGCACAAAGGGCACTAAAAAAATCTGGAGAACCTGACATTAGTTGTGAAGTTGCAAAAGTCAGTTGTAATGTAGTCAAAGATAATTTGGTTACAGATTTCTCTCAGTTACCTGTAAATAGAACAGTAGTCACAACTGAGTCTTCGCACTCCTTAGAAAAATTGAGTAAAATTAATGAACAAAATAATTCTTTAAATGCACCAAAGAAAGCTGTTACAAATTTAGAGAAAAATATTCATCTGGAAACACCAATAAAAAATGATGTGAAATATTTGTCCAAAAATTTCAACCCGACGACACCAGGTCCAGTTGATGGTTTGTTTCCAATGACACCCAGAGTGTTGAGTCCGTCTCATCAAGAAGAAACACCTATGACAAAATTGCTTAGAAGTGAACCATGTATTAACTTTTCAATGATTGTTACACCTAGTTTACCTCCTACTCCAAATATTATGATTTCCCCTTGTTCTGAAAATCAAGATAGTCCAACATCATATGCATCAAGACCTACAGATTATTCCTCGTGTTCTTCATATTACAACCCTTCAAAAAGCATAGATACTCCTTCTAAGTTGGAACAAGAACTCATAAAAGAATGTAACAAGTTAGAACAAAGTAAAAAGAAAGCTCAAGATAAATTGGATAAAGGCAAGGAAAATTTGGAAAACATTTCAAGAAACATTGCTGTAGATGTAAAAGCACCTCAGGATAAGAAAGTAGAAATGGAAAGTGCAGATTTTCCTAAGGAAGTACAATCTCATTTGAAAGATACTTCTACTTCTCAGGAAGAGCATGAGTCCTTGAATTCTAGCAGTTCCAGTTTTGTGACAGTAAGTGGTACAAAAGAGATTGACACAAATAATTCTGAGAAAACATCTGATTTGTCAGGGCAAAATGTAAAAGTTGGTCAAAAAGATGTTGAAAAAATTATGAAGCAGGCTTCATTGGGGAATACCTCAAGTGCAAAAAATCAATTTACAACGAATTTAGTTCAGAAGAAAACTGTAAATGCTAAAAGCAAACTAGGTGAAAAAGTTGCTTCAAAAGGTCAGATTGACCCAGAAGGTGACAAGAAGGTAAAAGATATATCTGTAGAAACGGAAGAAGTTATATCCAAAGAGAATAAGATTGAGTGCGGATTGAAAACATCTGAATCAAAATATAAGGATGTGCCTATGTTATGTATTAATAACCAATCACTGTGTCACACTAAGGATGCAGAAGTAAGTGATGAAATATCAGTGACACAAAATCTTGAGAAAATTCAAATTCCTTTTCAGAATGAACCAATAAAATCTATTTTACAAAAAGCTTTAGAGAAAGGAAAGGGCACATTGATAAAGAATAAAAGTACTTTGGAAGATTCCAACATTTCTCAAGATGTTAATTGTGAGAAGAGTCTTTGTGCTACTCCAGAAGAAATATCTAAACATTGTGAAGCCAGCATATTGGAAGGTGAAGCAGATTGTGACAATACTGTTGAAGAATTAATCAATGAAAATCATTCCCATGACTCAATCAAACAGAGTAATCCAGGAAAGGGATCTTCCAACACTGCTAACACCAGCAGTAGGAAAGCTAAGAATAATATCCAGAAAAACACATATACACATGCAAGTGCAATTAAAGAAATCCGAACAAAACATTCAACAGAAATGGTTAGTAAAATTAAAGAACAGTTTCCTGAGAATGAAATTAAGAAAACAGGAAAGAAGAGCACACAAACACTAAAGCTCTCCCCTTATTCAGCTACGAATGCCAGTGATTCTTCATGTCCATCAAATGAAAATAAAGTTAATAATGTTACAGAAAATGCTGGTAGTGAAAATGTTACCGCATCAAAAGTTCAAAAAATTAAGAATGTTTCAAATGTTCGAATAAACAATAAAAATAATACTGAGAAAATTAAAAACAGACATTCAAATCTGCAAGGTACCATCAGTGTCCCAGTTAAGAAAACTGGGAGGGAAAAAATAGAAAATGTGAATCCAGAGGAAAATAAAGCAGTATCTTCTCAGAATGTTACCAGAAAAAACATAGGCAACAACTCTTCCCAAATAAATAAAAATGGAAATAAAAATAATTCAAAGCAGGCTAAAGCAACTAACATAACTCCAATTAAGTCACAAGTTGAAAGACAAAAGGAAATGAAAAAGACTCCAAAAGTTACAGAAGTGGTACGTTACTTTATTTCTAAAACGCCTTCAAAATCTCAAAGATCTCAAGCTCTTAAATCAAAAAACTTTATTAAGAAAAGAATTGAACATAAGGAAAGTGACATCAAAAAGATGACGAAGTCTGAAGATATTCTGTCTGAGAAGAGTGGGAATGCAGTCAATGAAGAATCAACAATTGAATTGAGAAATGAAACTGATGAATGTGAGAAAAGGAAAGATGAGAAGAGTAGTAAGGAAGAGAATGAATTTGTGAGGAGTGATAGGAATTCAGAAAAGAATGAGAAAGATATTGAAATTACTGATCGAAAGAATGAAAATAAAAATGTTGCTAGTACAAATGGAACTGAAACCGTTCATCAAGGAAATGAAAATATAGATACGATAAGTGATGATGTGCCATCTGAAAAAGATAATGAACAGGATAGGGAAAATGAAGAAAAAAGAGCAGGTGAGGAAAGAAGAGAACTGCAAATTGAAAACGATGAGTCTGTCATTGATATTCATGAAGTCGGAGGTCTCCATCAAGAAGAAACCATGGTTTCTCACAAATGTGAAGGTGTGAACATGAATACTGAGAGTAACTCTGTGTGCCTTTCATCAAGTACAAAAACAGTGCTTGGAAACAGTGAAGACATTGAAAAGGAACAAATGGAAAACAAATGTTCAGAAAAAGAAAATATTGTAACTTCTGTTACTACTACTATTACTACTACTAGTACTACTACTACTACTAGTACTACTACTACTACTACTAGTACTGCTACTACTACTACTATTGCTACTACTACTAATAATACTTTGAATACAAAGAGTTATTTGCACAAAGTTAATTGCACTTCAGCTTCAGAATGCGCAACCTCCATTGAAATATCTCAAAATGATTCTACTGAAGTTTTGAAAATATCTGAAATAGAACAGTTGCATGTTAAACCTAGTGCAATTCTTGATAATGAATCATCAAAACAAATAGATTATTCTGCTTCTGTAGAGGAAGTTGATTATGAAAGACGAGAAGAAAATGAAACATCATCGAGTGAGTCTGACTCAGATGAATCCTCTGAGGATTCCAGTAGTGACTCGTCAGATGAATCATCCAATGATTCCTCCCAGTCACAAAACTCTTCCGTAGAAGGAAGTGATAAAGAAGCAGAGCTTCTGGAAGGCAATAGCACCTCTGTGAGAGATGTGACTGGTGATGATAATTCGTCTTCAGAAAAACAGCTAACACATGGAAAATATCAGCAACCTGTAGAAGAGTCATGTTCTGAAACAATTAATGAAATAATAAAAACTGCATCATCTGTTTCATATGTTTGTCAAGATATGTCTTTTGCTTCAGAATTGTGTGAAAAGAAAAAACGAATTCTTGCAAGATTGAAGGGCTCTACAGAGACAGATCAAACATTCAAAAATACAAATAATGCTGCAAACAAAAATGAAGAAATTGGTGAAGTTTCTGTTTGTGAACAGCCAGTTAATTGTATACCAAACCAGGCCTCAAAAGAAAGAAGGTTTGAAGAAAGGAATTGGGAGGAAAGCAGCATTGAAGAATTTCCTGTACTCCATTTAAGTGACAGTGAATCAACTGGAAATGCTACTCCTCATCCTTCTCCAATAAAAAGCTCATTAACAGAAGATAAAGTTGAAAAACAAAAACACAATACTATGAAATGGAATGCAGTATTTAGAAAAAGAAGTCCCAAAAGAATCCATTTTCCAGCCAAATATGCCATAGCACAAGTTCTTAACAGGAGTTCTACGGACAATTTTGAGAATTGTGGTAGTGATGGAGAGCAAAAGGCTGACAGAGATGAAGTTCCTGAAAGTGAATTACATCAAAACAAAAATGAAGTTCCAGTAATTGAAGGCTGTTCAAATTTTAATCCTTTTGTATCAGAAAATGCAGATTGTAGAGATTTCAATTTAGAAAGTTCTGTAAGTGCAGGGAATTCTATCGTTGAAAGTGTTATGAGGATGAATGAAAATGAATTATTTCTAAAAATACTTTATACTGGAAACTTCTGTCCTAAACCTCAGGCTATTAATCATACAAATTTATGTTACTCGCTTAATGAAGATGATAATGAAATAACAATTATAGGGTCCCAGTTTCAAAGCCTAATGGAAATACCTTCTAAGGAAATGTGTGACAAGCCAAATTGTACAAAGCATGTCAAAGAACAAGATATTGAAAACATAAGTTCTACAACAAAAGCCAATTCTAGTGTTGAAGGAAAACTTGATGATCATGAATTTGGTGATTCTAATTCTGATTATACCATTTTGATTGAAGGAAAAGATAAACAGAGTACTAAACGAACTAAGTTGCGACCTTTGGATGCTTTGTATGAAGAAATGATAAGATGTAATGATTCATCTAGTACGTCAGATGTCAGTACTGATGTGCCCATGGAAAAATCTTTACCAAAAAGCAAAGAGGTTTCAAGTGTGAAGTGTACGAAGAAAAAGACTACTGGCAGTGAGAAATCACACCAGGGTTCACTAAAAGTGTCTGGAAGTGGTCAAAGGTTACTCCAAGAAAACATGAAATATCAAAGCCCTCTAGAGATGATTTCTGAGTATAAATATCAAAAAGAAGAGCGAAGTTCAAATTATAGCTTTAGATCAGATTCTAAAATCAAAGATCAAAGTAAAAGCAAGAAAGAAGCAAATCAATCGGAAATAAAGGATAAGGGAGAGCTAGAAGATGGAGAAATTCTTGATAGTCCACTTAAGGAAAGCACTTCATCTGGGAGTAAAGCAAGGAGAGGAGATTCAGAGAGATACATGTATCGATCCGGTAAGTAACTTTTTGTTTGTATTGCCACAATAGCAAAAAATAAATATTTTAAATTCAGTCCAGTCATGATTTCTTCTCTTTTGTTCATTTATATTAAAGGTTGAAACACACTTTCTGTAGCACCACTAGTTACTTTGGTGATGGCATGTGTCCCTTCTTTGTACATCATTCAAGTTGTGATGTATTTGTATAACATCATTTGAGCTGTGAGAACAAGATGTTTAAATCTCTTAATTTTTTTGAAGTCAGTGTATTTACGACTTAACATTTTTTTTACTTTGTGCTTTCAAGGTTATCGTCGGAGTGAGTCTTCAGATGGTTCACATCATTCACATTCAAGTCATCGATCTAAACCAAGATCTACAGAGTCTGCAAAAAGGTAAGCACAGGAAAGCAAATAAGAAATGTTCATTAGTTTCTCAATCTTTCAAAGAAGAGAACTGCGTAGATTGAATATTTACACATATTATGTAGATCTTTTCTTTTATTAGAATAACCATATCATATTTTTTGTTTCAGAGAAACATATAGTCATCATCATAAAAATGAAAAGCATCAAACCTCTACAGCATCTAGTCACCATGATGATGTTCGATCTCTTCCTCCAAAGAAGAGAAAAGCTGTTTCTGATGAAATTTTCAAAGAGGTAAAGAATCATTTTATTTGGTGTAAATTTTAATTCTACTTAGTAATTCAGCTACGTGCTACATGTTTACTCACTTGATAAAGTGTGAAACATGTCTGTCATTTAAAAATAAAAAAGCTAATCTATTATTTATTTCTTGAAAACCCAAAAATTTGAAATGGTATAACCATCTCCAGTGATTGATCAACAAATACAGATGTATTTCAAAATTGAATGACATCTCTTTTCTACGCAAGCCTGGAGAAAGAAAAGAAAACTTGAATGATATTAATATTTTCTGCTCAAACTTTCTCGAAAAATTATTTGTAATGGTTATGTAATATTACAACACTTGCATCCTACTAATACTTTTAAGGTATCTCTTGGAAAAGTCTCTTCTTTCAAATAAATTGTGGAATATTTTGGGGAAAAGTCTTTAATTTTTGGAAATTCAAAAGTTTTAATGAAAATGGATCTTCTGACACTGAAAGCACTGTTTAATGTTATCCTTACAGAAAGTTTAAAGAAAGAAAAGAAAAGAAATATTACCAGGGAAGGATTTAATCTCTCTCTAATCACTAGGTTGCAATTAACTCCAAATACGCTGCTCAGTGTTTTTAGGACGTGGACACATTACAATCACTAAACACAAATCATAATCACAGTCATTTTGCATCTCATTAAGAGAGATGTGAATAGTGTTTAGTGTGACGTTGACGGGTGCGAGTGAAACGCAGACACGGAGTTGTTATGTACAAATTGATTTACAATGTTACTATACAATAATTACACTCCTGAGGAACTGGTGCTACACTGCCAGCACTGCACTTCCCTGAGGCATCCCCGCCCCAGCCTGCAAACCCCAGCGGCTAATCTTAGCGCCGTTCCTGGCATCCCGTTCCATGGCGAACAGCCACACTTCGCAGCCGAAGCTAGCGATAACCCCTGGCGGGTGACAAGCGCCTTCCGCACCGCGACACGATTCAAATTTGAATGCCGACCGTTCCTCCCTCCTAGAAGCTTTTTTGAGGAATCACGTGACCAACCTCCATGAAGTCGACCTGCGGCCCGCGTCACCTCATTAATGCATTTTGGGCCCCCCGCCGCTGTCGGACGCGACTGTCGTCACGTATCTTCCCCCCGCTTTGACACCCACGTTCCGACAGCACGCTTCGGCCCACACCCTCCGAGCTTGGTGGCCGCCAGATGGCCAACCCCTCCCCCACGCCGGCCACCTGAATTGAGGTCCACGACGTTACAAGTGATTGTATTGTGTCCTCGGGCTAAAAATACGGAACCCCTGATCCGGGGGTAACTTAGTTACTGCTAAATGTCTTTGGTTATATTCATTCCGAGAAATATAAAATTTGATACTTTAGAATAGCTGTTAAGAATAAATAACGTAGCTTATGAGCATGATTGCGGATGCGGAGCAAATGTGGATGGATGAAAACACCTTGAATTAAGATAAGTTTGTGTGTAATAATCTTTTAGCGGAAGTTGAACGTGTATGGTTTGAAACAAATTTCGACAAATTGTATTAATTAACATGTAATTATTTCATTTATTTTATAAATGAAATACATGAAATACATTTTATAAATGAAATACAGCATCTTTTTATGTAATAGACATTTCTAACATAAAAATAATTACCGTGTGTAGCATTATTACTTAAGATATGTACGAAGCATTAATAAGATCCACTTATTAGGTTTTAATTGCATTTGAAACAGTGTATTATACATTCACATACATTTTCGTTTTAAATAAATTTGTGGTCAAAGTTCATAGATTAACAAACAACACAGTAAAAATTATGTTACACTTTTATATTGTACATGCACTGTTTGTGTAAATTTCTGAATTAACATGGATCATCATAAAGTTTGAGCAATCAAAAATAAGAATTTCATACCTTTACTCAGTATGACGTAATATCTTACTAAATATCGTATAGATATTCTTAAGTAACTCGTTATTACTTTTCCGTATACATACATACGTAGTAATATACTTAGTGTGGAGAAAGTGCTGAAAATCGATTTCGAGATTTCAACGGAAATATGTTTCGGGGAACCCTGATAGCGAAAAATGGTTCTTTTCATAAGTCTGCCGTCAGTGAACACTACTAGTGCCTAAACCATACTTGCAATTTTTTCAAACATGGATATTCCGTAGACGATCAGGCTACACTCGGGTCACCTCGATTTCCACCACACCCCCGGACAATTTCTCAAAAAGGGCCCTACATTTTTGTTTAAATGTCTTGTAAGAATGGAGTAAAATACACTTATAAAGGTGGCATATGCCCTATTTTCAGAGTTAACTCTGAATTTTCTAAAGTTTTGAAATTTGTTGGGCGCCTTCCTACAACTACAAAGTTGAAGATACAGATTTTTCCTTCAAATAAAATTTGTTCTCCATAGTGAGTTCATTAATTAAGGTCATATACATTAATTTGAAAATTTTAGTATTTTCCCCTCAATATTGCGGGAATATATGCAATTTTAAAAAATAACAAAAAAAGATTTTCTCAAAAACGGCTCCAATTTTTTACTTTCCCTTATATGTTCGTATATACGGAGTAATATGCATTTCTGTTGAAATTTGGAGATATCAACGAAAATCCATGTTTTGGGGCATCCTGATACCAATTTTTTTCCCTTTTTTTTTCTTTCTTTCTTTCTTTCTTTCTTTTTTTTTTTCTTTTTCTTTTTCAAAACGTCTATCCGACCGTCCAAAAGGAAAATCACTAATTTACGTACGTTCCCGTATACATAAGTATATACGGAGTAAAATATGTAGTATAAGGAAAGTTATGTAATGCTGTGTTAGTGATGTAAACGGCAGAAATTCATTGCCGGGTACTGATAACGAAAAAGTGGCTTGTTAATAAAAATAATTAATAGTTAATAAAAAACTTTCCAGTTGCTAAAAAAGAATAAAAAATCCTCTAACTGGTGGTGGAACCAGAATCCCTGTTTTATGGGTCCTTGATACTCAAAAATCAATTGACGGCAAATGTCCGTCTTTCTGCTAACACTACTAGCGCCTACACCATGCGTAGATTTTTTTTCAAATTGAAGAAACCCCTGTCTATCTGGCTCTAGTCGAAGCTTTGAGATTTTGAAAAACATTCTTTAAAATTTGGGGGTACTTTACATAAAGCCATCCGGACATTTTAAATTTTTTCTCGAAAATGGCTCCAATTTTTTTCTTTAAATTAAGTTGACATACAATAGTTTAACATACACTTATAAACGTGACGCAGATCCGATTTTGAGGGTTAACCCTGAATTTTCGAAAATTTCAAAAGCATGATTTTTTTCGGTTTCTTCCCACAACTACAAAATTGAATATAGAGGATTTTCCTTCAAATTAAATGTTGTCCATAATTAGTTCTTTCATGAAGGTTATGTACTTTTTTTTTTGAAACTTTTAATAGTTTTCGCGCAACATTGTGTGTCATATTTCCATTTTTTTAATTACAAAAACAAAATTTTCTCAAAAACTGTTCCAAATTTTTTCTTTAAACTTTGGATGGAGATAGTGCTAAATATACTCTGAGTTGTCATAAATGCAATGTTGCTCTATTCTTTTGTTTCTTGAAAAATTACAAGAATGTAATTTTTTGGCATGTCTCTCAAGTTGTTAATATTTATATTAGCGGCGATTTGTTTCTTATATTTATGAATACATGTGCTTTAAATAATGCCATAAAGTTTCTTGAAAACTCAACCAAAACTAGCTCTAAATTTCGCATTTTCAGAAACGCTTAAATGACATTTTCCCAAAAAATGCTCCAGATTTTGTCTTGAAACTTTTCAAAGAGGATAGTGCTAATTGCACTATGACGTAAAGTTCATTTTGGGGGATTTTTTCTAAAATTATACAAATGAAATTTTTTTGGAAGATCTCTCAAGCTGTTGATGTGCACATTTCCACCAATTTGTAAACAATGTTGTATTTGTGAGTTAATGGGAGTTTAATGGCTTCTAATAATGTTTTCCAGAAACTCAAAAATATTATGTGAAAAGCTTCAAATTTCGAATTTACTGTAGTTAAATTAATGAGTACATGTGCTTTAAATAATATCATATAAAGTTTCTCGAAAACTAGCTCAAAATTCCGCATTATCAGTAACGCTAGGATTCTCTGTGTGATCTCAGATTTTGGGAGGTTTTATAATTGTCTAAGTGGTTAATGGCACCTTTCCGCCAGCCGCTGTACATCAAGGACCTATGACGCGTTCTCGAATTCAATGAAAACCATTTATATTTCAATTGCCTTGGCGTTGGTCAAAAATTTCACTTTTCTTTATAAATGCGCGAGAAGAAAAAGTATGCAAAATAATGTTTACAATGTGGCAATAGATTGAAAGTATGGGTGTAGTATATAATATTCTACAAAAATGTGAGTACATGTATTTTATTTTTTGGTTTAGATTTTTTTGGTTTGAAGTTTTTTTTTTTTGAGTGAAGTTTGGGGCCGAGAACCAATTTTTTAAAAAAATAGTGAAAGAGGGAGGAAGACAGGGTATTTCAATATAATAGAAACATGTATGCTCCGCGGCAGGGGGCGGTAATAGATGTCCTGTCAAATCCACCTCTTCCTGTCAAATATGTTATTACATAGCATCGTAGGCTTTCACGACCGGAGTCAATATAACAGAAATTTTCCCGGCTGGTAGGCCGTGGCCCAGTTGGCATAGAAGAGCCAAACGTTTCGTCCACGTCTGCGGTGGACATCGTCAGTGGCGGCAGGGTCGCGGGCGCAGTGCGCAGGGTGGCGGCTGGCTGGCGACTGGCATCGCTTTTTTTAAAAACATATTTTCCCCTCTCCAGTTATCCTGGAGATGTGGGAATTTATTTGACTGTTGGAATACATTATTTTCAGCTGCAGCCGATTTGGCTTGTGCAATTAGGGAGGGCTTTTTACTTACAGACTAACTAAAACTATCTTATAACTATGTACATTACCGGTACAACACGCAACACTTCACAACACTATATACACTT